TAAACTGTTTTTCGGTCGCTCCTCTGAGACAGTACCCGTGCCGCCCGTGCCCACCGACAGCCGCTGGAGGTCCTGCAGCTCACCGGCTTAGGGTTTAGGGTTTAGGGTTTAGGGTTTAGGGTTTAGGGTTTAGGGTTTAGGGTTTAGGGTTTAGGGTTTAGGGGTTAGGGTTTAGGGTTTAGGGTTTAGGGTTTAGGGCTGCTTTTTGTGTTTGGTTTGTCGTGGTTCGGGTTTAGGGGAGGGTTTTGGGTTTACGGCTAGGCATAGGGTTTGCGGTTTAGGGTTTAGGGTCTCTGTTGTACTACAACACGGGGCATTTTTCACACAGGATGCCCAGACAGGCACCAAACTCAGAGAACTACTGGGAAAACGATTGGTGTACGGTTTAGGGTTTCGGGTATGCCATACAGTTCTCCGCTGGGCAAAATAACCCTAAACCCGAAACCCGAAACCCGAAACCCGAAACCCGAACCCTAAACCCTAAACCCTAAACCCTAAACCCTAAACCCTAAACCCTGAACCCTAAACCCTAAACCCTAAACCCTAAACCCTAAACCCTAAACCCTAAACCCTAAACCCTAAACCCTAAACCCTAAACCCTAAACCCTAAACCCTAAACCCTAAACCCAACCCGCGCCCGCCTCCTCAGACAAGTCCAAGGGCTGCCGAGGCCTGAGGCTCAACGGGGGGGGGGGGAGGGTTGGTGGGACCCTGACGGGTTTAGGGTTTAGGGTTTAGGGTTCAGGGTTTAGGGTTTAGGGTTTAGGGTATCCAAGATTAAGCACACTCAAAAAACCCCATGTTTAGGGTTTGAGGTTTAGGGAGGGGCCTGATTGCGATAGACAGCGAAAACTCCTCGCACTAGTTTGCTCCAACTTCCCTCTGCCCCCATATCAGATCAACAAAAGCATGCAGGAACGGCAAAATCTTTGCCCAACCACCCGGCCCCTGGTAGTATACTACTGCCACAAGGTCATATTTTTCGGAACATCCAATCTGAGGAGGCTGATAGGTGTATCTTGTGCCTAAAACTACCCCCAAGCCCTAACTTTAAGCCCCCAAAGCCTACGTACTTCATTTGCAGCTTACATATAAACACCAAGGGACGAGTATACTAACAACCTACAATTCATTAGGTTGGGGGGGTTGTTTAGGGTTTAGGGGTTAGATGTTGGGGCGCAGCTTACATATAAACATCAAGGAAGTTTCAGACTAGCAGCCTGCAATAAAGTATAGGTTTGGGGTTGCTTAACGAAAGCCCCACCCTAAACCCGAAACCCGAACTGTAAACACGAACCCTAAACCCTAAACCCTAACTCCTAACCCTATATAAACCCTAAACCCCTAAACCCCTAAACCCTAAACCCTAAACCCCTAAACCCTAAACCCCTAAACCCCTAAACCCCTAAACCCCTAAACCCCTAAACCCCTAAACCCCTAAACCCTTTAGAAACCCTAAACCCTAAACCGCGCCAAGGGGCGAGTCCATTGCCTCGATGTTCAAGGCGTCCATATGGAACGCTTCGGGGGGGGACGAGGGGGATCGGACCCAGGGTTGGTATTTATGTTTAAAGGGTTTAGGGTTTAGGGTTTAGGGTTTAGGGTTTAGGGTTTAGGTTTAGGGTTTAGGGTGTCGTGGATGGTTTTGGCGCGTCTTTTGGGACTTGAAGAGCTGAGGCTTTTCGGGCTTAGGGCTTTTAGGGTCTGTCCGCTGGATCCATACAGCATGTGCTTTATGGCGTCGTCGTCATCTTCATCACCACTGATTGCTTAAGAACCCCCCCCCCCCAAAAAAAAAAAGGGGAAAAATGCATGCTTCCTTCTTAAGGGTAATATAGGGGTTTTTGTACTTTATTCTGTTGGGGTTCTTAAGCAAACAGAGGTGTCGTCATCATCATACTCCAAGTACAGCTACGTGTGCCAGAATCCTGTGGCTTCGCAAGAGGTCTTGCACGCGCTTTCTCCGGCGCGGAGCTTAAGTGGATCCGGAAGGCGCGCGTCCAAGAAGACAGCGGCACCTTCCGAGCGCCCGGGCCGAAAAGGAATAGCATCCGAATCCTCTGTATCAGGAGTTCAAGCATCGCGAGCCCCTACCCCCTAAACCATACAATCCCAAAACCCTAAACATCATAATCCATAACCCCTAAACCCTAAAATTCCTAATCCCTAAAGCCTCTAAACCCTAAGCCACCTGCCAGAAGCTCTGCTGGCCCAAGGTGGAAAGGCGGGGGGGGGGGGGGTTCATTTTGGGGGTCCTATTATGATACGGGGCCTTAGCTTACCCTAAACCCTAAACACTAAACCCTAAACCCTAAATCCTAAACCCTATTACCAAATAGGAAGAATGGCCCCCCCCCCCCCCCCCACACCAATCTGACGCGCCCTCACGCGACGTACCTCGGCGCTTCCGTGTGCAAAATGCCAGGTGAGACGTGCTGCCAGGCTGGCCTGCGCCAAGCCCACCATACTATGTACAGCACATGGTGGCCGTTCTCCAAGGCTATAGGGTTTAAGGTTTAGGGTTTAGGGCTATAGTCACCTCCAGAACTACGCATCCAATGTCGGGCGCGCGGTTTGGGGTTTTCCCCCCAGCCTTCGAACCCTGAAACCTGAACCCTAGAAATTCACTTAACGGTAGCCCTAAGGGTCCATAATGTACTTCATGATAATATACTTGGGCCCCAAAGTCCCTATGTAGGAGGTACTTTAAGGCCCAAGTGTTCCCATCTAGGTACATGGACCCGAAGCCCTAAACCCTATAAAACCTAAAACCTAAACCCTCAACCCTCAAGACCAGGATAGAAAGAAGTTGTGTGATATATCATTCTGAGCTTACAAACTTATTTGTCTAAACAAGCCGGCACCACAAATTCTCAAAAAAAAAACACATCTCAGTAGTTTGATCCAAAACGTCACTGGGGTCCAAATGTTCCATTTCTTTGAAGAGGACCCAGCATTTCAACTTAACCCTAAACCCTAAACCCCTAAACCCCTAAACCCTAAACCCTAAACCTTAAACAATGCTTCAAAAGCCTCCCAGGGCAGAACTCGAAACTCGGTCCAAGTTGTCGGTCAAAGCTTCCGGTCCTAACTCTGGACCTTCACCCTATATCGGGTTCAGGGGTTTAGGGTTTAGGGTTTAGGGTTTAAGGTTTAGGGTTTAGGGTTTAGGGGCCTCAAACCAAACAAAAAACTCGCTCGACACTTTCGGTCAAAACCCGCCCGAAACTTTCGGCCAAAATTCCGGACACAAACCCGACACAATTTCTGTAAACCCTAAACCCTAGTGCCTGCTTCTGGAGGAGTAAACTTCCTAAAGCCCTGCTAAAGCCCCAAACATGATCCGCGACCAGTAACTACTGCAAACTACATCTCCAGCCCTTGTGCCCGAAACCCTAAACCCTAAACCCTAAGCCCTATACCCTAAACCCTAAACCTTAAACCCCCTGTCGGCCTGTTTTGGGAGTGGGCCTTCTGAAACCCTGCGCCGCCCGTGGGAGGGGTGGGGGAGCCCTAAACCCTAAACCCTAAACCCTAAACCCTAAACCGTGGCACCCCCCCCCTCCGCCCCCCAGGCAGCAAGGCCACTCAATGCCGGGCAGTCGGCCGGAGGCTTGCTTGGGTTTAGGGTTTAGGGTTTAGGGTTTAGGGTTTAGGGTTTAGGGTTTAGGGTTTAGGGTTTAGGGTTTAGGGTTTAGGGTTTAGGGTTTAGGGTTTAGGGTTTAGGGTTTAGGGTTTAGGGTTTAGGGTTTCGGGTTAGGGTTTAGGGTTTAGGGTTTAGGGTTTAGGGTTTAGGGTTTAGGGTTTAGGGTTTAGGGTTTAGGGTTTAGGGTTTAGGGTTTAGGGTTTAGGGTTTAGGGTTTAGGGTTTAGGGTTTAGGATAACACTCCTAAGCCCTAGAACCCTAAGTCCAAAATTGCGCGTTTCCTTAGCTTGCCTCCTCCCATTTTGTGGCTTTACCCTAAACCCTAAACCCTAAACCCTAAACCCTAAACCCTAACCTTAAACCCTAAACCCTAAACCCCAAACCCTAAACCCTAAACCCTAAACCCTACATTTGTCTCTGATGGTTCTTCTTCTCTTCTGCTTCTCGGTGGCACCTTCGTCGACCGAAGGACGGCCCTGAAGGCGGTTTCCCAACCTTTGGGACGAAATGAACCTCAAAATTGGGGGATTGAGGGTTTAGGGTTTAGGGTTTAGGGTTAGGATGTATTCGCCCCACTCTGCACCTCTTCTCGCCTCGGAGCTGGTTTACGCAGTGCTGCTGCTGAAGGAGTCTCTCCAAAATTTCCTTGGCCTGCTGCACATGAAGACCGTAAGGGTCCATATACCTAATTAGTATATACTTGGGCCCCAAAGCCAGTATGAGGAACCCCTTTCAGGCCCAAGTATGTACTGTATAGGTACACCCTGAACCCTAAACCCTAAACCCTAAACCCTAAACCGCAGGTGATACATTTAATGGCGAGATTGGACTCCCGGGCCCCTCCACCAGCTGCAGCAACCGCTGGCCCCAAACCCTAAGCCGCCTTCCTCCCGCATTGATACAGCCGACCTGAACCCTAAACCCCTAAACCCCTAAACCCCTAAACCCCTAAACCCCTAAACCCCTAAACCCCTCAACCCCTCAACCCCTAAACCCCTAAGCCCCTAAACCCCTAAACGCCTAAACCCCTATAAACTCCTAAACCCTAAACCCTAAACCCTGCTTGGGGCTCGAAGGTTCAGGTTTCAGGGCATAGGGGTTAGGACTTAATTCGAGCCCCAAACAACCCAACCAAACCACTCGATTAACCCAACAAACCCCATAAACCCCATAAGCGCTCTCTCTCTCTCTCTCTCTCGCTCTAGATAGATAGATATATAAATATAAATATATATATATATATATATATATCAATCCCGAAAGTTTACCCTAAAGCCTTATCCCTAAACCCTATACCCTGAACCCTAAACCCCCTGGACTTGTTTTCTTGGCCTCCATGGTGGAAGATGGGAGCTCAGATCACCACCTCCCGGGCGCGTGGGGGTCTTGAGCTCGATTCCAGAATGACCCTAAACTTTTAGGGTTTAGGGTCCGGGGTTTAGGGTTTAGGGTTTAGGGTTTAGGGTTTGGGGTTTAGGGTTTACCCCAAAACCTATCTAAACATCCTCAACCCAGAATAGACAGGGAGCGCGTTCTCCCATCACAGGGGCTTACAAGTGAACCCGAAAACCCTAAAGCCTAAACCCTAAACCCTAAACCCTAACTCATTTTTTTGGAGAGCCCCTCCCAAGCCGGACCCTCAACCCTAAACCCTCAAGCCCCTGTAACTTTGAAATGGTTCAAAACTTTAAAAAGCCCCACGAAACTGTCCTTGAAACTTTCACCCGAATTTTCCCACGGACCTGAACCCTTACTAATTTCAATCAACCGAAAACCTAAACCCGAAACCCTAAACCTCTCTTTCTACATGTATTTCAACCTTGTTGACCCCAGTGGGCGGCAAATTTGCCTAACTCGTGGGCATTTGCCTGGTTCGTGGGCAAAAATTTGCTTGCTTCGTGGGCATTTGGGCAAAATTTGCCTGCTTCGTGGGCCAAATTTGCCTGTTTTGTGGGCATGTTTGCCCGGTTCGTGGCCAAAATTTGCCTGCTTCCTGGGCAGCCACTGCCGGTTTTGCCTCACTCGTGGCGCCTCCTGCCCCCCCACCCCCTGTCCCTGCAAGCCTCGCCCGAGAGGACAAAAGTCCCGAAAGCCCCGGGACAGCCCATATTAAATAAGGCAGCAGGGCAAGCTGAGAGTTGACTTAGATTTCCAAGGTACAGCTTAGAGTAAAGGGTATGACGCATGAGCACCTGGAAGCCGTCGCTTTTTCTTTCTGATTTTTGTTTTGTCAATGTTATGGCATTCTCTGCTCGGGTGGATGTTATATCAGAGCCGTGCATATAACTTTACTGCTTGATCCGGAGCTGCTGAACCCTAAACCCTAAACCCTAAACCCTGAACCCTAAACCCTAAACCCTAAACCCCAAACCAAAAACCCTAAACCCTAAACCCTAAACCCCAAACCCTAAACCCTAAACCCTAAACCCCAAACCCTAAACCCTAAGCCCTAAACCCTAAACCACAAACCCTAAACCCTAAACCCGAAGCTGCCGCTCGCAGCTCCCTGGAGTGCCCAGCCTCCGCGTGAACGACGGAGTCAGTGGACCAGTGGAAGGACACTGTCCTGGGTTTAGGGTTTAGGGTTTAGGGGTTTAGGGGTTTAGGGGTTTAGGGGTTTAGGGGTTTAGGGGTTTAGGGGTTTAGGGGTTTAGGGGTTTAGGGGTTTAGGGGTTTAGGGGTTTAGGGGTTTAGGGGTTTAGGGTTTAGGGTTTAGGGGTTTAGGGGTTTAGGGGTTTAGGGGGGTTTAGGGATTCAGGTTTAGGGAAAAAGTTTTGGGTTTGGGGGGTTAGGGGGGTAGCGTTTAGGGTTTGGGGTTTGGGGTTTAGGGGTTTAGGGGTTTAGGGGTTTAGGGGTTTAGGGGGTTAGGGGTTTAGGGGTTTAGGGGTTTAGGGGTTTAGGGGTTTTAGGGGTTTAGGGGTTTAGGGGTTTAGGGGTTTAGGGGTTTAGGGGGGTGGTTTCTGGCAAGGTTTCGGTCCTCAGGTTCAGGGTTTATGTTGGAAACGCTATGTGGCCTGCATATACCTGCAGGTTCATGGTACTTCTTAACCATATATATCTGTACTTATAACTGTACTTATAACCATATTCGGGCACTTAAGGGGCGTATAAGGAGGTTTTCAGTACAGTTCTAATCGCTCCATAAGTACCATGAACCTCCAAGTAAATCCGCAACCCTAAACCCTAACCGTAAACCCTAGACCCTAAACACTAAACCCTAAACCCTCGTTAGGTTAATAAGTACCATGAACCTCCAAGTATATAAGGACCGTCTACTTCTGGCTAACCAGCGACACGAGGGGCGCCTCCCTCTTGGACCTCTTGGACCGACCCTAAACCCTAAACCCTAAATCCTAAACCCTAAACCCTTATGTACCCCTCATATACCCTATCAAACCCAGGGCCCACACTTCAGAACCCTTTTAAATTAGGGTTATCAGGGATCCTACACCCTTAGGGATCAGGATTTCGGTTTAAGGTTCAGGGTTTTGGGTTTATCTTTCCAGTACCCCTTAGATACGCTCGAGCCGGAAGGGTAGCCCTTCCCCCCCCCCCCCCCCCACTCCCATCCGCCCCAACCTTAGGGTTTGAGGGTTTGGGGTTTAGGGTTGGAGTTTGGGGTTTGCTACGTATAACTTCTCTGCTCGGCTCCTAAAAGGGCGACCCGGCCTGTATATGCCCATCCATAAGCGTATCGGCCCTAAACCCAAAACTCTTAGGGTACTTGCATGATGGTCTCTCATTATGGGCCGTTAAGGGACGATTTTGGGTTTAGAGCTGCTAAGGGTTTGGGGTTTCGGGTTAGGCTGTCCTAAACCCTGAACCCTAAACCCTAAACCGTAAACCCTAAACCCTAAGGCCCTAAGGTCCCTCATTGTGGGGCTTCGGGCTCAGGGTGCTTCCCCAGCCAGGCCTTCCCAAGAGGGGGCCAAAGAAGTCCCGGTCGAGGACATCCACACGCCTGGTTAGGGTTTAGGGTTTAGGGTTTAGGGTTTGGGGTTTGGGGTTTTTTGGTTTGGGGTTTGGGGTTTGGGTGGGGTTTGGGGTTTGGGGCTTGGGGCTTGGGGTTTGGGGTTTGGGGTCCATGTACCTACCTAAATAGGGAACTCTTGGGCCTTAAAGTACCTCGCTTGGGAGAAACGGGGGCGGGGGGGGGGGGGAAGATTTCGGGTTTACGATGTTTGGGAGGCTTTGCAGTCCTAAACCCGAAGCCATCAACCCCTAGAACCTTAACCTGGGATGGTGTCAGGCTTTGTGGTATCACGCCTTGAGATGAAACGGGCTCAGGGTTGCTTGATGTCAGAGGTAAAGGGGTGTGGGGTTTAAGGTTTTAGGGTTTAGTGTTTAGGATTTAGGGTTTAGGGTAAAGGGGGAAAGCTGAAACTTGCTGTAGTACTAGTCCTCAAAACTTTTTGGGTGCTCCTAAGCAAACCGTAGAACACCCTACTTGAAAAACCCTCAAACCCTAAACCATGACCCTGAAACTATGACAGCATAAACCCGTAGTTCCTAACCCTAGACCCCAAACCCTAAAGCCCAAACCCTCGATGGTAGGGCCTGTGAATGCCCAGCTCTTTTGCTTTCCACAGCTCGATCTTGTAGCTGAAAAGCAGCCTTGCTAGGGTTTAGGGTTTAGGGGTTCAGGTCTGGCCGAGCCACCACTGTCTGTCTACCCCTTTGACAGGTACCTGTAATTTGGAACCATTGGGTATGCTTGCCCCCCTTGCCCCTAAGCAAACCAGAAACCCGAACTTACTTGGTCCTCCGGTAGCCTAGGAGGTTTTTGAAGGAAAGCGCAACGCCAAAAACAAAAAAAGGGAAACACAAACCGGAGACCCTAAACCCTAAACCCTAACCCTAAACCCTTAACCCTAAACCCTAAAGAAGCCCCCAAAATATCCCCCAAGCCAGGAAGCCGACAGCGCGGAGGCTCCTTTGCGCCCTTAGGTCCTATTGGGGCTTAAAGTTCAGCTTAGTCAATATTCCGGTTTATAGGGTTCAAGGTTAGGGTTTAGGGTTTAGGGTTTAGGGCTTAGGGTTTAGGGTTTAGGGTTTAGGGTTTGGGGTTTAGGGTTTAGGGGGGAGGGGGGAAGGGGGGAGGGGCACCCCCCAAATTCAGGGCTCATACCTAAATACCCTAAACCCCCAAATACCCTAAACCCCCCAAATACCCTAAACCCTAAACCCTAAACCCTAAGCCCTAAACCCTAAATCCTCAACCCTGGACCCTAAACCCTAAACCCCAAACCCGAACGAACGAAAGTGTCCGAGTGGCGCATGCTGCTCAGAGGCTGGAAGAACGCAGCGAAGAGGCCCATGGGTGGCATCCTATTGACTTGTATTGGGTTTAGGGTTTAGGGTTTAGGGTTTAGGGTTTAGGGTTTAGGGTTTAGGGTTTAGGGTTTAGGGTTTAGGGTTTAGGGTTTAGGGTTTAGGGTTAAGGGTTTAGGGTTTAGGGTTTAGGGTTTAGGGCTTGGTTCTTTGCAACTGCTACCGAACCTGAGACTTGAAACCACAAAGGAAAGCAATAAACACCTCGAATCTCGCGAGCCGCCCGAGAAGGTAAGGAACACATGCAACGCACCGGGGAAGCAAAAGCATCCGAAGGCACCAACCAATGGTGGCCTTCGTTTGGGACCCGAAACCCTAAATCCCAGACCCCATACCCTAAACCCTAAACCCCAAACCCTCGACCCTAAACCCTAAACCCTCGACCCTAAACCCTAAACCCTAAACTCTAAACACGCACATCATGCTGCTTTCGTCCCCAAGGAAGATGCGACCCAAACCCTGTCCTGCATTTGCAGATCGCACACAGTGTCGCCACGATCAGAAATCACCTGCGTGGGTGCTGTTCAACATTAGGGCCCCTTCAAAGTCCTAAACCCTAAGCCTTAAACCCTAAACCCATGAAGACTGGGCACCCCCCCAAAAGGGACACGGCTTAGGGCTACGGGATTATCAGGTGAGTGCTTCACTGAAGAGTTTAAAAGCACCCCCCAGCTTTTCCCTCTTATTGAAGGGTGGTTGGGCCCAAAGGCGTTATTTATCAAGGTTTTTGGGCTATTTTTAGCCTAAGGGTTCGAGTTGTAGCTAGCAGAACTCAGTTTAGGGCTTAGGGTTCAGGGTTTAGGATTTAGGGCATTCTACGTCCTGCAAAAAAAAGTCAACATGCCGGGAGACTCCAGTCCAGCGTTCCTTCGTGGAAGAGTATTTCTTGAAACATCAGGATCCCACCCCAAACCCTAAACCCTCAACCCCAAACCCTAAGGAAGCCCCAAAATATCCCCAAGCCAGGAACCCCAAACCCTAAACCCTCAACCCTAAACCCTACTACAACTAGGTTGCCCAGTAGCCTAGGATGTAAAAGGGTGCCCTTTTGTCCTTAAAGGGGATTATAAGGGAACCTAAACCTACCAAAAAGGGAATAAGGGTACTACTGGGCATCCTAGAACCCTAAACCCTAAACCCTAAACCCTAAACCCTAAACCCTAAACCCTAAACCCTAAACCCTAAACCCCGAAGCAATACCAATACCATCCTAGACAATGTCAGTAAGAATCATTGCCGAATGAAGGGATACATTAGAACGGGGCCCTGTCTCTCTTCCACCTCCAAGCCTGCAAACCCTCAAATAGTTTTAGGGTTTAGGGCTTAGGGTTTAGGGCTGAGGGCTTAAGGTTTAGGGTTCAGGGCTTAGGGTTCATCAGGGTTGAGGCCAACAAAATAAGCTAAACACTGGGGGGCTTGAGCAGCACAGGGGACTTTGTGGGTAATGCAGGAGCCCACTAGACCATAATGTTCTCAAGAACCCCGCAGCCCTAAGCCCTTCGCTAGGTTCAGGGTTTCGGGTTCAGGGTTCTAGCTGAGTATCCTCCGATTTGGAGCACAGGGCCTTGAGACCTTTCCACCAAGTAATATCGCTGGCGGTGGAGAGCTCGAACCTGAGACGGCTTAGAAGTTTGAAGCCTTACTTGGAGGCTCATGGCACCTGTCAACCAACTATAACCGTACTTCTAACCCACTTATAAGCCCCTTCCTAAACCCAAAGCCCTAAGCCCTAAACCCTAAACCCAAACCCTTAAGTGCCCTAATATGGTTATAGGTACAGTTATAAGTGCAGTTTCAGTTGGTGGATGAATACCATGAACCCCCAAGTTGGGGCTAAGAGGGTTTGGAGAGGAGTAGTTTCGGCTCGGGGAGGGGTTGGTGTTTGGGGCCTTAGGGCTAAGAGGGCTTAGGGTTTAGGGCTAAGGTGGTTTGGGGGTTCGGGCCTTCGGCCGGAGAGGGTTTAAGGGCCTTCGGGCCAAGAGGGTTTCGGGGTAAGGGCCTCAAGGCCGAACAAGGTTTAGGGGTTAGGACTTTCAGGGCGAAAAAAGGTTTAGGATTCAGGGTTTAGGGTGGTTCGGGCCGTATGTCTAGGAGGGTTTAGGGGTTTAGTGCTGGGAGGGTTTAGGGTTTAGGGTTTAGGGCTGCGGGGACTCTGGATTGAATTGGTGTCTCGGGCTGGAGAGGTTTTCAGGCAGTTTAGGGTCGAGGGGTTCAGGGTTTAGGGCTCAGGGGTTTAGGTTTAGGGTACTGGAGCTTAGGGTTTCGGGTTTAGGGGTTTAGGGTTTCGGTTTTCGTCATGCGAGTCTTGGAAGTCTTGTATACAAGCCCTATATTGCTCATAAGAGGCCGCCTCTAGCTGTCTTCTATGTAAACCCTCATGAAGAGAAGGTACTTGGAGAGGTGGAGGTGAGGAGATTCTTGGGCTCCCTAAACCCTAAACCCTAAACCCTAAACCCTAAGCCCTAAACCCTAAACCCTAAACCCTAAGCCCTAAACCCTAAACCCTAAACCCTAACCTTTAACCTTAAATTGGGGGGAATTCCGGGCTGCGAACCCGACGTGCCGCAGCAGCTGAACCCCATACACCCTACACACACAATAAGCCACAGAAACCCTGCCAACATATGAACCCTATAAACACACTGAACCCTCGAAGCCGTAAATCCCAAACCCTGAAGCCTAAACCCTAAACCCTAAAACCCTAAAACCAAAAACCCCTAAGACCCTAAACGTCTAAACCCTAAACCCTAAACCCTAAAACCCTAAAACCCTAAAACCCAAAAACCCTAGCACCCTAAAACCCTAAAACCCTGAAACCCTAAACCCTAAAACCCTAAACCCCCGGGACCCCTAAACCCTAAAACCCTAAGCCCTAAAACCCTAAAACCCTAAACCCCTAAACCCCCTAAACCCTAAAACCCTAAACCCTAAAACCCTAAAACCCTAAAACCCTAAACCCTAAACCCTAAAACCCAAAAACCCTAACACCCTAAAACCCTAAAACCCTAAAACCCTAAAACCCTAAACCCTAAACCCTAAAACCCTAAACCCCCGGGACCCCTAAACCCTAAAACCCTAAACCCTAAAACCCTAAAACCCTAAACCCCTAAACCCCCTAAACCCTGTCGTTGTGCAGGTGGCGATGTGACGTTGGCGGGCTCGGCCTTCCACTGCACGAGGCCACCTTCACCGCTTCGACGCTTGGCCCTAGAACCCTTGGCCTGGTAGCCGAACGGAACCATGTTAGGTTTAGGGTTTAGGGTTTAGGGTTTAGGGTTTAGGGTTTAGGGCTTCGGGCTTAGGGCTTAGGGCTTAGGGTTTAGGGTTTAGGGTTTAGGGTGTAGACTGGGTGTAGGGTGTAGGGTGTAGGGTGTAGGGTTTAGGTCCAGGGCTTACGGTGTACTCCTACAAACTCGATGATGAAGGCACCCAGTAACCACATTCTAATCAGGGTACCTTTTTTGGTGTTGGTTACTCTGTAAGGGAACCATGAGCCAAAAGAAGCAAAAAGTGTACCGCTGGGCTACCAGGCTTTGGTCGGAAAACCGCATATGGGCGCTGGACTTTCAAGGAGCAACTCTAAACCCGAAACCCACCATAAACCCTAAACCTAAACCTTAAGCCCTAAACCCTAAACCCTACCCCCCCCCCCACTCATGTATGTGGACTCCTGCACTCTTAAATTCGTAGGCTCCCCAAAAACTGACCCGCAACTCCAAGAATCGCAGACCTGTTTAGGGTTTAGGGTTTAGGGTTTAGGGCTAGGAATGAGGGTTTAGGGCTTGAGGTCGACCAGCCTCCCTTGGAGGAAAACTCGCCACCGCCCAGGCGCGAGGGCGGCGCTAAGGCGACGTCGACCACGGCACCTGGCCGGACCAGGTCTAGGGGTTTAGGGCTTGCAGGGTTTAGGGTTTAGGGTTTAGGGTTTAGGGTTTAGGGTTTAGGGTTTAGGGCTTGTAGGGTTAAGGGTTTAGGGCTTGCGGCCTTTTTGGGGTCTACGGTTCTGGGTTGCTTGCTTCGCGCTCAGCGCTCAGGGTTTGGACTCTGTCTCTCTCTCTCGCTCTCTCTCTTTCTTCCTGTCTTGGTCTAAGGGCAATCTAGCAATAATATTGAGGTTTAGGGCTAGGGTTTAGGGTTGGCTGTTGGTTAGGGAGTTTAGGGTTTAGGGCTAGGGTTTAGGGTTGGCTGTTGGTAAGGGAGTTGAGGGTTCAGGGCTAGGGGCTTGGTCCTTGGTAAGGGGACTTAACCCTTCAGAACTGCCGCCTTCGGCTTCGCATTTGCATTCCCAGGCCTTAGGGCTTGCCCTAAGCCCTAAGCCCTGAACCCTGAGCCCTGAACCCTAAACCCTAAACTAGTGGTTTTTGCACAGGTCAAAAACTCCTCTGCAACTACGTTCCTACCTTTCACACCCCAAACCGACTGGTTTTGGGGGAGTTTGGTTGATTTTGGGGCTTTGGGGGGCTTAGGCCTTTAGGGTTTAGGGTTTAGGGTTTCGGGGGTTCAGGAATTTAGGGGTTCAAAGATTGCAGTTTGTGTTTGTGGTTTCTACATCCCAGCCAGCCTGGCTGCACTTGCGACGTGACCTGTCTCTCTTTCGCGCCAGGGTTTAGGGTTTAGGATTTAGGGTTAGGGTTTAGGGTTGAGGGTTTCGGGTTTAGGGGTTAGCATGGATGTTTCAAAAACACCACTGTCGATATCGAATCGATATCGACATCGAACCGTGAGGTATCGCCAATGTGCGGTATCGATATCGGTTCGAATCGAAGCAGACCAGTACCGAGACAACTCGGCTTCAACATCGTGTGCTCATCAATTAGGCCGTAGGCTTTCCAACGGTGCAAACTACAATAATTCTTACCTCGCACCTCAATTTTTCAGATTTCGAAATTAAGCACGCATGCCTCGCGGAATTAGCACTTCCCTCCCGGAAGTAGTACCTCGCAGTGGCCGCAATCAAAACCGGACTTTCAGAACCAGCCACATCAACCAGCCCGAGCCCACAACCCCCCCGGCCTCACAATAGCCAGCAAGGAGTTAATGGAATTCCTGTTTGGGCCTTTTTTGTGCTTTATTCCAGGCTTTCATTCAAGATAAGAGACGGCTCGGGAGGCCCTGGGAAGCCCCAAGACGGAAAAAAAAGGGTGCTTCTTTGAACTTTCAGCAGCACCCGAAAACTAAAAAAAACGAGGGCTTTTGAACTTTTAAGGGGGCCTGGCTTGCCTTGAAACCTGTTTGGCTCCAAGCGTGCTTGGCTTCGAATCCCCCTGGCCTCACTAAAGGCCAGGTGGCGGAAGAACATGAAACCAAGAATGACAATGTTAAAAATCAGACGTCCATACCTGTGCATGTGTTCATGTTCTTCGAGTTGCATGACAAAGAGGATTTGGTCCCTTTTTTTTATACTGATACAAGCGGGTGCTAAAATCGTCGCTGCCGCAGAGCAGAGAGGAAGTTACCACTACTGCCACAACGCCACCACAAGACCATTGCTGAACTGGTACCGTGAAATTGATTTCTTTCCCCACAAACACACAACCCTCGAAGTACGCAGGCGGTATCCGGAAGCCCCGTGTGAACGAGAAACCCTCAAGCCTCAACCCTCAAGCCTCAACCCTCAACCCTAAACCCTAAACCCTAAACCCAGCCTCGATCCGGCTCTGGCTCAACACCTCGGACACGCCGCCAACGACGCGGACGTCCACGCCACGAGGATAGTTCAGCTTCCTGAGATCAAGGTCCCAGGGCGGGTTAGTCCCCTAAACCCTAAATCCTCAACCCTCAACCCTTCCCAAAAGCACCCTAATCTCCAAAGCCACGGAAGCAAACCTGTGGGCCCCATCCAGACCCTATAAACCCCATAACACCTAAACCCTAACCCACAAATCTCCCAAACAAAGGGGCGCCTTGAATTCCTCGTTTAGGTTACACCACTTCGAAAAATATTTATGACTAGGTTCCATTATAAGGAAAGACAAGAAATTACAACTTGTCCCAAAGCACAACCCAGCTAAACCCTGAACGCCCCAGAAGCCCTAAACGCCCGTTGAAGGTTTGGGAACACCGGCTCCCGACCTAATCAACGATGTGAGTTTCATGGTTCTATAAGGCCCCTAGAAAATATTCTTCATTGTAATCCCCTGAACCCGAAAACCTAGACCCGAAACCCTACACCCTACACCCTAAACACTGAACCCTGAAAGGTTTCTTCCCTACCAAACCCAAACCTACTTTTTCGAAGGTTCGTAGTCAAAAAAGCCCTTGTAGATTGATTACGTGACCTACAAATTGAGATGCTTTGGGCTGTTAAGGTCAACGCTGTAACACCCCAATCCCTAACCCCTAACCCTTAAACTCTCAACCCTAAACCCAAAATGCCACCCTCAAGCCTGGAGTGCAGGGGTTAGGGGGTCTAGGGGGATACTGTCCCCCTGCTGGAGGTTTAGTTAAGGGTTAAGGGTTAAGGGTTAAGGGTTAAGGGTTAAGGGTTAAGGGTTAAGGGTTTAGGGTTTAGGTTTATCTAGGGGCTTGGGGGGCTCAGGGGTTTTAGGGTTTGGGGTGCTCGGGGTGGGTGTAGGGCTAGGGTTTAGGGTTTTGGGTTTTTAGGGTTTAGCGTATAGGGGTTTGTGGCTTTGTGGGGTTTGGGGCTGTTGGGATGGATTTAGGGGTTTGGGGGCTTGGGTTTAGTTTACTTTTGGTTCAGGCCTTTGGGGATGTAGGATTTCCTGATACCCTAAACCCTAAACCCTAAACTCTTTAGAAACCCTAAACCCTAAACCCTAAATCCTAAACTAGGCAGGGATCTCGTTGTAGTAGATCTCCGTCTTTAGGCCCCGCGTCTGCTCTTCAGGTACCTGGGCAAGAGGCTTTCGGTTGGCATTAAGAGCTTTAAGGGCGCAAATGGTTGTCTTTAGGGTTTAGGGTTTAGGGCTTGGGGCTTGGGGTTTGGGGTTTGGGGTCTAGGGTTTGGGGATTAGGGTTTAGCGTTTAAGAGCTCAGTGCCTTAAAGAAGTTTAAGGGCTTTACGTGTTTGAGGGAGATCTTGGGGTGTAAGGGCTTTCAACTGAGGTACGTGTCCCCTGAAAATGGAGACCTTACGAGAAAGAAAACCTACCCTATGGTCATTTTGGCGACAGCTTGAACCCTAAACCCTAAACCCTAAACCCTGAACCCTAAACCGTATATAAACCCGAAACCCTAAACCCTAACCCTGAACCCTGAACCCTGAACCCTAAACCCTAAACCGAACGTGGCCCGGAAGAGGATTGGTCTTGGAAGTTAAAATTTCCAAGTAAACTTACTTCTCAAAGAGGTTTAGAAGGGACATCTTAAAGGTGCGGCATCTGAGTCTAGAGTTCTAGTCATTCTAATCAAACGAAGCCTGGATGAGGATTCCTCAGGGTCTGGAATTTTGCAAGTCTAAGTAAATTTCATTGAGAACAGGGGCCGGAGAATATCATGCTAAATAGATGCAATTCAACCCTAAAGCCTATAAACCCTAAACCCTATGAGGCTGATATTGAAGAGGATGTCTTGGGCTGCGGCCGAGTCATGTCATTGGTATAACTTGGGTGTATACTTACAACACAGACCCCAAAGGAAAGGGGGTTGCTTGGAGATTCATGGTACTTATTAACCAGTTATAACAGTACTGATAACCCACTTCTAAGCCCCTTAAGTGGCCTAAGAATGGTTATAATTGGGTTGCAAGTACAGATATTATTGTGGCTAAGAAGTACCATTAACCTCCAAGTAGTGAAGCATCTGATAGTTTGTGGCAGCACGATGTCTCAACATCGAAGGAATTTAGTCCCTAAGGGTCCATGTACCAGTATGGCATATACTTGGGCCCTAAAGCTACTATATAGGAACCCCTTTAAGGCCCAAGTATATCCTATACAGCTACATGGACCCTTAGGGAGTAGAGGATCGTACTCCACTTATGTGCTCGACCTCACTCCTACTTCTGAGGGCGGCGCGTAACAGCGCCTCTCCCCCAAGGAGCTCGGCTTGAAAAAGAATTAGGGTTTAGGGTTTAGGGTTTAGGTTTAGGGTTTAGGGTTCAGGGTTTAGGGTTTAGGGTTAAGGAAAATTCTGGAGCAACGTATTGATGCCTTCGGCCATTGAAAATTGAAAACACTCGGTGAAACGCTTGGGGCCTGTGGCGCCCAATGCCAATCCTTTGGAGAAAGGAACCGCTCCTAGATGGCAAGCTTCAGGGCTCTGAGGCGAAAAGATGGCCGCAATGTCAGTCGTTCAGCATAATGTAGCGCCGGTTGGTGGCATGATAAATGGCCCTTGTGATCAGAAATACCACCAATGAACAAGCCGCGAAAACGAACGAGCCCACGAGATTATCAAATGCGTCACGGGTCCAAACCTCTAAGGCCACGATACAAACACAACTTGGAAGCATTAGCACAATGACCAGCACATTGCGGAGGACTTCCGTCAGCCAGCACCGCCCCTGCGCGCGGAAGACGCGGGACAAAAGCATGCCCACAGTGAAGATCGTCGGAAAGCTCAGGAGCCAGTAACTGGGGTATAGACCGATCAACCTCTCAAGCACGTGGTCTCTCAGAAAGTCATCGCGAAAAAAGCTGGTCAAGACATCCATGCAGCTCCACATGAGTGGTGACGTTGAGCACACCAACCAGACCTAGGAACTTAGGGGTTTAGGGCTTGGGGTGCCTGAATCTAATCCTCTTAAACCCAAATTAAGGGCAAGATATCGAAATGTCCCCCTAGTAGTAGTAGTAGTAGTAGTAGTAGTAGTAGTAGTAGTAGTAGTAGTAGTAGTAGTAGTAGTAGTAGTAGTAGTACTAGTACTAGTACTAGTACTAGTACTAGTACTAGTACTAGTACGAGTACTAGTACTAGTACTAGTAGAACCTCTGCCAATCTGCCTAGAGGCGTAGGGAAACGCATCACACCCAAGCTGCCGCTGCAGCGCATGGGCCACGGAGGACCGAACCGACTCATTGAAGGCCTCCTCCGGTCCAAACCACGAGCTCCTTTTGGGGGGGACTTAAGCGAGCCCCTTAAAAGGGTTTAGGGTCCATATCTTACCTAGACCCGGGAGTAGCCTAGGAATAACAAGGGTGCACCTTTTTTTGTTTTAAGGGGATGATAAGGGAACCCCAACCCTAAAAAAGTGAAAAAAGGTACCTACTCCCGGTCCTAGTTACCTACATTTGAGGGTATATCCCCCCCCAAACAAATGCGGATTCGTAATTCGTCCCCAAGGTTCACGCACCGGCCGACGGTCTCCCTGTCACATATTGGGATGGGCTCGGAGGTAGCCGGGTCCAGATGATTCACCTAGGTTGGCCCCAGAAGCCCTGTGAAAAATAAACTTTAGGGTTTGGGTTTAGGGTTTAGGGTTTAGGGTTTAGGGTTTAGGGTTTAGGGTTTAGGGTTTAGGGTTTAGGGTTTAGGGTTTAGGGTTTAGGGTTTAGGGTTTAGGGTTTAGGGTTTAGGGTTTAGGGTTTAGGGTTTAGGAGTTAGGGTTTAGGGTTTAGGGTTTAGGGTTTAGGGTTTAGGGTTTAGGGTTTAGGGTTTAGGGTTTAGGGTTTAGGGTTTAGGGTTTAGGGTTTAGGGTTTAGGGTTTAGGGTTTAGGGTTTAGGGCTCAGGGCTCAGGGTTTAGGGTTTAGGGTTTCGAATAGAGTCCTCTTCAACCTAATTATCAGGGAAAGTATAAAATATTTCAAAGGCCTCCCTGGTCACGGAGCAGCACCAGCCTTGGGGGGCCAAATGAACCCTAAAAGGGGCTTAGGGTTCAGGGTTTAGGGTTTAGGGTTTAGGGTTTAGGGTAGGCCAGATATGACGGCAATCTTGGAGGTCATCTCGTCCCCAAGGGTATCAACCCCACAACCGAATGTGACAATTAGGGTTTAGGGTGAACCTACCTACCCCCCAAACTTTAGATTTCATTTGGTTCCCAAGGAGCAGATAGCCCTAAAACCTAAACCCTAAACCCCAAACCCCAAACCCCAAACCCTAAACCCTAACCACCCAGAGAAGGGAAAAGAGTACCACTGGGCTACCAACAAAGAGCAGACCGTCTTTTGCAGCTCAAAACGTCGGAGCTGGCAACGCATCGCCTCCAGGTCGCAAAAAAAAAAGGAGCTATATTTTCACCGGCCAGAGTTTGGGGTTTAGTTTAGGGTTTAGGGCTTAGGGCTAGACCCAGGAGTAACCTGGGAATAAAAAAGGGTACCATTTGGATTTTAAGGGCGGCGAATCATCAGGGAACCCCAAAAAAAGGAAATAAGGGCCTACTCGGGGTCCTAGCCTTCTTTCATCATGTCTCACCTCTTGTAAGGAAGGCCCGTGGGTACCAATCCCGAACCCCGAACCTGATGCAATTCCTATAAACCCTATGTTTTGGGTTTAGGGTTTAGGGTTTAGGGTTTAGGGTTTAGGGTTTAGGGTTTAGAGTTTAGGGTTTACCCTAAACCCTAGAATCCCTAAATCCTACACTCGCCTCCAGAGACCTGAAGTGGGCGCGGGCCGCATGCGCCATGCCAAGGGCGAGGCAGGCGCCGAGCGCAAGTGTTAAGGACCACCTCGGGTCTAGTGGGTTTAGGGTTTAGGGTTTAGGGTTTAGGGTTTAGGGTTAAGGGTTTCGGGTTAAGGGTTTAGGGTGGTTTCGGGTTTCGGGGTTTCGCAGCCTAGGAAAAGAACTGGGTGCCATTTTGGGTTTAAATGGGGGCTTGGAAGGGAACTGAATTTATGAACCCCAAAGAATGGAGTAGGGGGCCTGCTCTGGGTGCTACTGAATCCACCCATTCTTTGATTGCTTTGGGTCCTAGCCACTGAATCCCCGCATTCTTTGAGGGGATAAGGGTCCCGACAAAGCCGAAGCTGGTCGAAAGCACCGCCAGAGACAAGGACATGTAGCCGAGAGCCGCAGGAAACACTTTCAAGGCGGACAGGTTCGTGCCTTACTTCTCCAGTAACCAAGGGGAAAGATACTAAGCTTTTATTTGTCCTGCTTAAGGAAACGCAAAAAAAGCAAGTTCAAAGTTGGCTAAGCAAGTTGCCGTCCGCCATGTCGGGATGGGATCGAAGAAATGCCGCTAGCTCAAAGATGCACCAGAGCCTGTCCTCGGTGCTAGAAAGCTGTTTTGCCTCCGCCAATATGGTGCGATGCGGGGTCGTTAATACTGAGTTAGGGTTTAGGGTTTAGGGTTTAGGGTTTAGGATTTAGGGTTTAGGGTTTAGGGTAACCGGTTATATAAGTACTCACACCGTAATGCTTGAGGGGCCTTTCTAAATCGATCCGTAGCTTCGATGTAGGTCTCGTCCCAAACAAGCAGCAGAGATCGGGAAGCCTTGAGCGTAGCCCCGATGTTCAGGATCCCCAAGCTCTTCTGGACCTCATCGAACTGATTGATGCAAACTCTGTCAACAAATATCCTGGGCTTCCCAGCAACCTAGGAATTAAAAAAAGGGGTCCACAAAGATCCTGGATTGCCCAGTAACCTAGGATTTAAAAGAGGGTGTCAAGAAAGATCCTCGCTTGCCCAGTAACCTAGGATGAAAAAACTGCGCCCTTTGTTGGCTCAAGAGGGGCTTATAATTGAACCGAAACCAAACCCCCCCCCCCCTAAACCCTAAACCCTAACCCGCCGCCCCCCCCCCCCCCCCCCCCCAAAAAAAAAAAAGGAATAAGGCTACTACTGGGCATCCCGGGAGCTTGCTCCGGGACCTCCAGCAGAGCAACGTCAAGGGGGCCAGGACCAGCCCCACGGAAAAACACCAAAAGGAATGCCTTGGGATGTCCCCCCTGATTCGGGTAGTTTCCTAAATGAGGGTCCCTTTTTGGGTACCCATTGTAAGATTAGGGTAGTTTCCTAAATGAGGGTCCCTTTTTAAAGCACCCATTCTAAGGCGGCACCCTTTGAAAAGGGATCTCAAAAAGGGACCCGAGTTTGGAGAACTGCCCAAATACTGACAGCTCCTTAGTAGGGATTTTAGTAGGGGGCACTATATTCCCTGTAAGGACTGTTACAGCAGTATATGGGGGAACATCCCAAGGAATGCCTCGCGTCTGGCGTATCGGCCTCGAACTCTGGTTTCACGTAGCCAGGCAGGAATCCAACTTGCCAAAGGCAAGCCATGAGCGAAGCGCCGAAGCCTGCTACCAAGCAGGCCGGCAAGCCATTCTTCAGCATCAGCAGAAGCAAGACTTTCTTCCAAGTGGCAACCTGCCAGCTGTGACTCAAGAACTCATCGTAGGCTTTGGTAACCTTGCTCAAGTGGAAGAAGCTCTTTCTCCGACCCGCCCAAAAAACCTGGCCCAAGCAGGCCAAGACCACATAAGCTGGGCACGCGCGAAGCATCTTGGGGTTGCTTGTCCGCATGGCCTCAACGAAAGCGACGAGGTTGCTTGCGAAGAGGTCATCTTGCTGTGTCCCGTCTCCAGAGTCTGCAGATGACTCCTCTGATGGAGCTTCAGAAGCTTCGTTCTGATACCCACCCGGCTCCGGGAGCTTCGCAGACCCATCACGCAGCTTACTTGGAGGTTTCATCACCTGCGGCTCATAGTCAGTGAAGGATCCTGTATGGTTGACAGGTACCTCGGCGGACTTCTGAACCCCTCCTAGAAGTTTAACTTGTAGGCTCCTTATTGTAGTTTCTTCAACAACCCCAAAAGTTAAAGTTAAAGCCCTAAGAGCCAGCCAAAAGGAAGCCGAGGTACTAGGGCAGGGACGCACTCAGTCGGCACTGCCCAATCGGCGGCTGACTCGTCGGCTGGGCCATCAGGACAATCACCCGTAGTCAGCATCTCAGGCGCTGAATACCCGACGTAGCCCCCAAAAAAGCTCAACCTTCATACATACTAGGATTCTATATAACCAAAAAGGCTAAAGATTTCCTACCCACTTACTAAGGCATGGACCCACCCAAACAGCATCAGTTTTAACCTCGCGAGTCTGTGAAAACGTGCGCGCTCCGGCATGTCAGAGGGGGCGGCTGGCGAACAAGGGTTTAGGGTTTAGGGTTTTGGGCTTTCAGGGTTTATGGTTTATCGGGCTTTAGGGTTTCCAGGGCCGAGGGTTTGCAGGGTTTCGGGTTTTCTGGAGGGGTTAGACACCAAGCATCCCTAAACCCTACACCCTAAACCCTAAACCCTAATGAAACCCTAAACCCAAACCCCAAACCCCAAACCCCAAACCCTAAACCCTAAACCCCATACCCTAGACCCTAAACCCAAAACCCCCTCATCCTCCGATGAAGAAGATCGAAGCCCAGCCACGTAGGTGACCCGGAATGCACCAGATGCCGAGTCGTAGCGCTGGGAGGTGGTTTTGCCCGCCACAAAAGGGGCCTGAAAGGCTACTACTGCAGAATAGGGTTTAGGGTTTAGGGTTTAGGGTTTAGGGTTTAGGGTTTAGGGTTTAGGGTTTAGGGTTTAGGGTTTAGGGTTTAGGGTTTAGGGTGTGGGGTTTGGGGTTTAGGGTTTAGGGTTTAGGTCGGATTAATTACTAATCGTATTCCCTTCCGGTCCCTTTACACG